GGGTACCATACCAGTTTATTTGTACAAGTATGGTGAATAAAACAGGTAGATATTTATATATAATGTGTGTATATAGTGTAATAACACCACACAGTATTGTTGGAGGAGAAATATTAGTGCGTCTGGCCTTGAGGGCGGCCGCCGATCAGCTGACAGTGAGAGTAGCCACATCTTTGTGCCTTTACTCACCATACAAGCTTAGATGTACAGTTATGGTGAACAAAACATGTAGATACTTATATATAATGTCTGTATATAAGATATATAGCGTAATAACACCACACAGTATTGTTGGAGGAGAAATATTAGTGCGTCTGGCCTTGAGGGCGGCCGCCGATCAGCTGCCTTTACTCACCATACAAGCTTAGATGTACAGTTATGGTGAACAAAACATGTAGATACTTATATATAACGTCTGTATATAGTGAATTATAGCAAAAACATTATTGTGGGAGGAGAATGTGGGTGAGTAAGATGACTGGAGTGAGGGTGTGAGTGGCTGGCTGGTACACGGCGGTCACTCCTCGTTACTTTTTGACTCATAATAGCTACTTAGTGGTTCGTTATAGTGAACAAAACATGCAGATACTTTTATATAACCTGTGCTTATAATGTAATAACCGACAAAGTATTTGTTCACCGATTGATGAACATAATTGAATCAACAATATGCACACCATATTTTTGAGTACAGCAATGATTCACTCATTTTATTATATAAATATATCAAACTACACACTATTGAATAATATTACAGCAAAAAAAGTATGAAAAATCAATCAGAGACATTGAAATAATTCGGTAATTATCTCTTTGTGGCAACTCTGGCCTGACAGCTTGCGAGCAACAGACCGCCTGGGACGCACGCTGAGTCAGCGCCTATAATTTGCCAGACTTCCCCGCCCTATAGCGGGCAATATTTGCCACTTACGATTATTTTATTATTTTTCCCGTGATCAGTGAACACAAATTAACAGGTTAGAAAGAAAAATAATTTTTTTTTTTCAAAATGACATGCGCCTGTGGGGATGACAGGATATTAAACCCCGAGCATGTTAAGGGTTAAGTGTCATTTACCCCTATTCTTGTTGGATTAACTATTATGGCTCTGTTCTGAATAACTTATCCTCCAGGTAGGGTTGGTAGAACCTTACTACCACATACTTACTACCTTATTTATTAAGGTAAGATTCGAGGTTGGATCTGATAAGAGGAGGCACTAAGGCCCGATAGGAAGTTTGAGATAGAAAGAACCTGGTTACTGGCCAAGTGAAGCCATGAGGCTGTAATGTGCAGTTAGGAACCAGGTTCATTCCTGGGTCATAACACCTACCTATAATGGAGCCCTCTAAACAATGAACCAAATTCAGCACCCAGGTCATCCCTCCAAATTCATTATTTTAAGAAAAAATCCAGCATTGAATGTAATGAATCACCACCTGGTATAGTCTCGATGGCTCCCTGCAGCTATTTCCCCGCAATGGCTCTCCATTACTGGGTCACATCAGCCACAGAAGTCCTGTTTGGCCTACTGCTTTGAGGACATTATCAAGCAGGGAGTCTGACTGGGTGGGTTGACACATCTGTTATGATGGAAGAGTCCTAAGGCAAGCTTAGCATGGACAGAAATCTTGAGTAGAGAAAAATGGCAATAGATTCACATCAGAAACTACAGACACCAGACCCAACTGCTTATACAGGTGGAGATGTGAAAAAATGCCTGGGTTCAGAAACCAAGTCAGAAGAGTCAGAAACTAAGGTTGAGCCAGGCATCAAGCAGCCATATTGTAGTTGGTTGGTGCCTCGCCTCAACCCTTCTCAAAAACCACTCCAGTCTGAACAGTACCTAGAGCAATGACTGAACTTGGGGGATATCTAGAGGGGGAGGGGGGGGGAGCGAACTTGTGTTGAATATAATGAAGAATCAGTTTCTGGGTGAGCCTTGGAGACTTCCTGAAGCTATCTATACTCATATAGTGTTATGTCAGTTGGGGTCATCAGCTGCAGAGATCTTGCTGCCTACCAGGAACCAGAGCCAGAACCTAGCCCCCCTGCAGAGCCGCAGGGAGCAATGGCAATTTTAGGTCTGCTGTCTCGTTTTTATCCAAGCAGTAGTCTGTTTTCGTTCACCAATCTGTGTGGGTGCCTTTCCCGGTGTTGTCAATTATGATTTACTTAACATTTAAAGTGTTCAAGTAAGGTAAGGCCAATAGAACTCTGCAACTGATGGCACCTTGTAGCATGGCACTGATAAGTGTATGATAGCTTCAGGGAGCCGACGGGGCTGCCCCCCCCAGAAATGTAGGCTTGAACCAAAAACAGTGGACCTATGAACCTAAACTTTGCAGACAGCAGGGTAGAGAGCAATATCCATCTATCAGGTGGCAGAGGAAGACAGTATCACCAGGGACAAAGTACAGTACAGTATATCCAATCAGAGCAACCTAGGACTAAGGATGCTTGTCACAAGAAGTGACACTAAACAGATCCAAAGATTAATGCGGCTGTGAAGGGCATCAGTGGAGTGCCATGTAGAAAAGTACACGAACCCTAGCTCACCCTACAGCAAAAACCAGAAATACCTTCAACCACAGGGGGTCACGCAGAGAAATCAAAGACTCCTGCACTACACAGGGCGAGGCACCCTAAACAGTAGTTCAGCTTCTTAGGGACTAACTTCCAAACTCACCCGAGAAGTCACCCTGAAGGCGTAAGGCAAATGCCAAAATGAGCACTTAAGGAAAGGCTATCAAGGACAAGGACAAGAATAACTGAAGTTCATGCAACAAGTGAAAATTTAAAAATACTCTTGTGAAGCAAGTACCAAAGTCAGATATCACACACAACCCACAGGATAGTGTCCAAAGGCTGGCCTTCACTTATCTAACAGATGCAACACTTGCTACAGCTGGTGACTTAGACGACGTCCAAATTCAAGGATATTATTGACAGGGATGAGGCTTAGATGGCATGCAAACTGGGAGCTTCCAGTGTTGTTGCTGCCACCTGTTGCTGGCCACCTATGGGAAAGGAGGGGGGGGGGGGAAGAGGGTTCAACCTAGTCTCTTAGTTGGTTGTCATTTGGCTGTTTCAGTGCTTTGCTTTTTGTGAACATTACACAATTGTCTATATTGCTTTGCTTTCTGTGAACATGGCAATTGTCAATATTGCTTTGCTTACTTTCTGGATGTCTTCTCAGTGAGGGTGATCATAACAATCCCCTGCTCCCGGGCCTATGTGAGGGAGGGGGTCGTCAGGTTCTGGCTCTGTTACCTGGTAGGCCATACCGGGCTGATGCGACTCAGTAGGGGGAAGATATTTCACTGAGCTAGCTTCAGAGAGCTGCTATTCAATCCCTCCAGAGTTGAATGAAGGGATTGAATGGCAGCTCCATTCAGTGACAATTAAATGGCAATTCCTCCATTCAATCATCACAGAGTTGATTACTCTAAAGAGATTGTCAATAAGTTTGGAAGTTTTGTCAATAAAATAATCAAATGCCTCTACTCAATCTGTTCAAGGAAATAATATACTAATCTTCTGCATATTACAGTGAAATTTTGTTTGAATATAAATATTAAACATGTGTTCCTCTCTGTACAAATGCTAAAAATATTTATATATACAGGATATATAATTTTAATTACAATTCTTATCTATTATTGACTACTTATTTTGAGAGGTAAATAACATTACTAGTTTTGCTTGATTTAAAAATAAGGTTCATAATGATATTCCAGTATCAAAATTGTATAATGTTATTGTTAGCATTTCACTTCTTTAACCCTTAGTCAGCGGTTATCATCAATTGTCAATTCACAGGATAGTGCGGTTATCATCAAATGAAAATTTAAACACTTTATTGTCTGGGTTTTACATGTATGATGCAAATATGGATATAATAGGTCTGTGTGGATGTAATGGAGTTTACCCTGACCCATGAACAAATCCTACCAACATTTCATTGTACAAATGTGGATATCATCAAGAATGTCATTGGGAAATGCAGTCATCATTATATAATGATTTAAACAATTATTGTCTGGATTTTATATATATGATGCACAATATGTGCATCATGCATGTAAAATTCTACTTTCAAAATGCATTTGTTGCAGTCCCCGTGGTGTAGTGGTTAAGACGCTCGCCTGGCGGTTCGCAAGCACTTTGTCCTGGGTTCGTATCTTGGCCGGGGAGGATTTACTGGGCGCAAATCCTTAACTGTAGCCTCTGTTTAACTCAATAGTAAAATGGGTACCTGGTTGTTAAAAGACTTTTCGCAAGGTCGTATTCCAGGGAACATAGAATTAAGGACTTGCCCGAAATGCTACGCGTACAAGTGGTTGTGCAAGAATGTAAGAGCTCTTGTATATATATCAATAAATAAATATGGATATATGAAAGCTCTCTGTGGATATAAATAAAGAAAAATAAGTGATAAAACAATCAGTGAAATATCGGAGGATAAAACATGAAGCGTCAGCATTGTCGAACACAAGGCGTTGACAAGTGCCAAACGCAGCCTTGCAGAGCGCCTCAACCCGGTAAAACGATAAATATTCACTTATTTTCGTGTTTTTTTATTACACCCTGTATACAAATTAATAATTTTTATAATAAATTATTTTTTGGAATTTTTATATTTTTTTGTGCATAGATGGGTATGACCATTTCTTCATAGCCGCTGTTTAAGGGTTAATTGAAAGTCAGAATTATGGATAATCATTAAGTCTGAGTTTGTAAAGAATACCCTATACCAACTTCTGATACTGAAGCCAAGTAGTGAACATATACAGTATATGAAAAATATTATATATTAAAAAATAGAAGCACACACACAATAGCTGAAAAAATAAAGTGAAATGAAAACATAAATTAAGCCACTATTATTTTTAAAACCATACTTATCCTTCAACAAATAATTACTATCTAATTACACAGTCACACTGAAAGCACTCTTTGAAAAACTTGTAAAACAGTTTTAGAACGTTGACAGTTACCTTGTCTTACGACTATGTTTGTTGCCCCCAGCAGGTGACCGAGGCCTCGGAGACTTTGCCTTGGGAGATTTAAGGTTTGGGGACTTTGACTTTGATTTTCTGCGGGAGTGACCTTCCCTGTCTTGAGAGGGACTTGTGTGACTGTTGTTGGAATAGGTTGGGTTAGGAGTGGGTAAAGGTATCATATGTAAAATGAGGTTACTAAGATAAAAAGGAGCAAAACCTACATCAATTTCACCAAGTACCAAAAATTATAAAACCACTCAAATAAAGGTTAAAAACTGTAGAAGCAAATACTGTATACAAATAATACAAGGCATTATAAAATAAATGAATGATGAAACACCTGTGTTACAGAACCAATATCAGTAACAAGCATAAAACACAATGAAACTTCAAGTGAGGTGCTTAAAATGTTTAAATCTTAACACACACACACACACACACGAACAGCTTCCAATGATAATTACAAAATTCCAATACAAGACGCTGCATGCATTGAGCCCTCCTCCTCCTCACTCTCATGTAACGATCATTCCAACTTTCTATTGCTGTTATACATTTTTTTTTTTACAGTTGTAGATGAAGTTCATTTGCCTCCATCTGCTTCTAACCCCCCTTTTTCATCGCTCATACTCTAAACAACAATTTTATCTCATCCCTCTGGTTTCTTTGTGTAGTCAGTGCCCACCCGTGTCCACTCATGATATTCCCCTCACATGGAACAGATTACCCTCAATGTTCCCTCAGCACCTTGTATATTGTGACTATTTCCTCTGGCTCTTCATTTGTTCGGTGACTGCAGGTTAGCTTGAAGAACCTGCCACAGCACAGACCTAGTTTTATAGCACCAACCTCATGGCAAATCTCTCGACTCTATATTTTCATTTAGGGCTTTATGAGGTGGGGTTCCATAATGATGCTTGAGAGAGAATGGTTTCTGACATCTAGTCTTGTACTCCATGGGTGCTGTGCAGCTGTGCACATGCTGTGTATTGAGCATTTCACCTATCTGCGGACACGAGTGCTTTGTGTCCGCAGATAGTACGTGGTTGCAAATAGTGTTAGTAGTACAGAAATTGTGTTTGGTGGCATACGATGCCTGGTTATACTAGAAGGGCAGTTTATTCAACTAGCCTGTATGATCATGGTTGGGGGGTACACCTTCCCAAGTTAGCTGTTTAATGGTAGATTGCTGTCTGGGCAGCTCTGATCTTGACTATGAGGGTAATGCTCGGGGACATCCACTGCTTCCTGCCTCTCCCTGCCACACCCATATTGTTCAGTGATCAGCCAATCAGAGGCCTGTGTATGGTTGAAACTGAATTCTGATTGGTGGGTATCTCAAAGTTTTAACGTAAATGAGTAGTGTGAGCGAGCTCTGCTCCGTTGTCATCAGATGCCCTGCCTCATTCTCAGTGTTGCTGAAGAGGAGAAGATGCACGCTCTCTCGAGCAATGTCACCCTCGAAAGCTACAAGTATCAACTCCCCATAACCCCCCCCCCCCGGTCGAGGACAACTTCCCACACAAAATGGCGAAGAGTGTGCTGTATGCAACTGGTGTGCCTGTCGAGTGAGTACTTGTAATTAATTGTGTACATATTGACTCGCATTATGTGATGCTTAATTGCAACCCAGTGAGCCTGGTGGGTGGTTCTTTACTATTTTGGTGAATCCATTTTGAGCAAGACACCACAGAGTGTCGCTTTGGACCAAGCATGTGATTGTGAATGTTACTCCAACACATGTATATTGTGCATGCAATTTAATGTCCCCAAGCATGAATTTTGAGCTCCAAATTGTCCTTGTGCATACAGCTGTGGTGTTAGGCAGCCATTATTGCTGAGGTGGTCTTTATACCAGTCTTAAGGTTAGGTTGTGTTATGTCACCTGAGTACTGTCAACAAGAGGCAGTACTGTGCATAGATTTGCCCAAGACTACTCAAAGTAGACAATTATCCCAATTTCATTTGTAAATATAATTTTGTTTTATGTTTAATAAATTAGATTTAAGCACATAGTGTTTGAAGAAATATTTTCTCCCTCGTCTGACAAACATACAGTATTACTGGGTGCTGAATCGGTCCCATAAACGAATCCTCCGCCAATACTTGCCCAATCAAAATAAATTTTGATGAATTGATGACTCTGGTTTCCCCTGCACCACCAGGAAGAGATCAGACATGACTTTTAATCTATCAAGAACTACTCAAGATCTTATGCTGTTGCTCTAGGCATTTTACATTTGTTGATAATTACTGTGAGCAGTTTGTGTGCCAGTCCTAGCCTAGCTGCACACAGTAGTGGTCCGCCAACCCCAGCGTAATCTCTGACAGTACTCTGGTCAGACCTCACTAGATCTGTATATGCTGTGCTTTTCTAAAGGATTCACTGTTCAGCTTTCAAAAAACCAGTATTGAATGTAATGAAACACCCTTTTCTGGGAGACACCCGGAGGCTCCCCAGAGCTATACCAGGCTGATGTGTAAATATTAGACCGTGGCAACAGTCAATCGATGGAGTTCTAGCCAACCGGGAGCCACGAGCCAGAACCTGGCCCCCTCAGAGAGCCACGAGAAGCAATGGCCTATAGACACCCCCATGTAGTTGGAAGCAGTCTATGTCTGACATCTACCAGGTCAGGCACCCAGAAAGGTTGGAATCCCAAAATAAAGTACAGCTGGTTAAAAATTGCAAACCAAAAGCCGAACGAGCAAGCAGAACTCCCCAATCAGAAAACAAGCATGACGTTATCACAGCTGCCGCGCTGCTATCTGCACAGCTCCCCCCCCCTCCCTGAGAGGGCGAAGGGGGGGGGGGGAAGTTGTGACTCTTGACTCTTGCAGGATTTAGCCCCTAGATGGTACACTGTGTTCAGCATCCTGCTCCCTTCATCCAAGACCACCCACGCCGGCTACCAAACCCTAGTTCAGAGGCCAAGTATAAAAAATGCAAAATACTGCCAACCAGAGGGAGGGAGGGATGCTAGGGATCTGCTCATATCTGATATAGACAAAAATACACGTCACAGCTTCGTGTCGTCCTTTGCAGATGACACAAAAATCAGCATGAAAATTACTTCTGCTGAAGACATTGAAAAACTACAAGCAGATGTCAACAAAGTTTTCGATTGGGCAGCAGAAAATAACATGATGTTTAACAGTGATAAATTTCAGGTACTCAGGTACGGCAAAAATGAGGATCTGAAACATAATACAGGGTACAAAACAATCGAATCTTCCCACAGTAGAAAAACAGCATGTCAAGGATTTGGGAATAATGATGTCCGACGATCTAACGTTTAGGGAGCATAACCAAGCAAATATTTCGTCAGCCAGAAAAATGATCGGATGGATTACGAGAACTTTCAAATTCAGGTATCCCATCACAATGGTTGTACTCTTCAAGTCACTTGTGTTGTCCCGTCTCGAGTACTGCTCAGTACTCATTTCCCCCTTCAGAGCAGGAGAGATTGCTGAAATAGAGGGAATACAGAGAACATATACGGCACGCATAGACGAGATAAAATACCTAAATTATTGGGATCATCTGAAAGCTCTCCAAATGTACTCTCTAGAAAGGAGACGAGAGAGATACCAAATAAAATACACATGGAAAATACTAGAGGGCCAGGTCCCAAATCTACACAGTAAAATAACAACGTACTGGAGTGAACGATATGGAAGAAAATGCAAGATTGAACCAGTGAAGAGCAGAGGTGCCATAGGCACAATCAGAGAGCACTGTATAAACATCAGAGGTCCGGGGTTGTTCAACGTCCTCCCAGCGACTATAAGAAATATTGCCGGAACAACCGTGGACATCTTCAAGAGAAAACTGGACTGTTTTCTAAGAGAAGTTCCGGATCAGCCGGGCTGTGGTGGGTATGTGGCCCTGCGGGCCGCTCCAAGCAACAGCCTGGTGGACCAAACTCTCACAAGTCGAGCCTGGCCTCAGGTCGGGCTTGGGGAGTAGAACTCCCAGAACCTCATCAAGCAGGTATCAAGCAGAGAGCCTCCGGGTCTCATCCAGAAAATGATGTTCCATTACATTCAACACTGGTTTTCTATGGAGAGCCCCTCCGGCTCCCGTGAGCTACCTAATAAAGATAAAAGTAAAAGTGGGAGTTACCCGGGAGGTGGCCGCCACTATCAACTCAAAGTCGAGACGACTGGCTGCAACCTGCGACCCAAGGCTACATGCGCCCGAGTAACGCCAGAAACATTAGGGAAGTACCTTCCGGCTCGGACCCCTGTTTAACCTCCAAAAGCCCCGTGCCCAAATGTTTGCCCAGGATATATTACCAAAAACAGCAGCCAAAGCCACAAACTTACGAACGTCGTGGGCAAAAGGATAGACCACAGGCTGGCTCGACCTAATAATCCTGCTGTACGACCTGGGAGACCGATGCCCAGGAACAGGGAAGAAGGGAAACCGGGTTAACCCATAGCGGGAGTAGGGAAGCAGGATGAACTAGAGCAGGGAATGGACAAGAGGGCGCAGTCAAAACCAAAGTCGCGGCAAGTAGAATCCTCAAGTCTGGGTCCCTATAATCAAAACGGGGAAGACGCGGGGCACCTGGAAAGGCAACCCACCTAGCATATACAGCAACCTAAACCCTGCAAGCAACACCAAAGCCCCTTGCACTCGAATATCAAACAGTGGACTGGGTAAACTGGTGTACAAGCAAGGAACACAACTCGCAGGACTTCAGGTCAAAGGTGTCATTTACCCAACAGGCAGCATGGCAGAGGCAAAAAAGGTGAATGTCACCCTGAGACCAGGGGACAGAGCAACCTTCAAACTCGCATCATGCGAGATGGGACCCAGAGGATGCATCCATAGGACCAATGAGCCCCAATGAGGGTGTCCAGGGCCCCTTAAGCTGACTGCTAAGGGAAGTCCAGGCAAGGTACTGTTACCGGTTATCCCAGAACTACCAGACAAAAAGCCGAATCCCTGCAACGTGGGTAATCACGGGAACCTCGCGGAGGGCCACCAAAATAATCCAGGTGGTTCTACAGTCACACCAGGCAAAACAAAACAATAGAAACACTCCTCAAAAGCACATCTCCAGGAGCAACAGAACCAGTTGCTATACATATTATAAGGCAGCTGCACAGTACCTTGTGACCCAGGC